ACGTGTAGCTAAGATATAGTAAAAAAGAAATTCAATGTGCAATTTTTCTCAGTGAGTTTGTGTGTGTTGATCTTAGGTCTGCCTCATTAAATAAAAACATAAAATGGCAAGCAAAGTATTTTTTAATACATGAAGATATGCAATTACAGAACAACATTGATGCATTTATTTTAAATAGATGTATTTATGATAAATAGCTGTGAAGCAGGTAGAGATTTTACTTCACATAAGGTTTTGGCTGTTGTGTCAAAGTTGGTATAGTTTGAATCTCTCCTTGAACATGTCAAATCCATTCAGCTTATTACAAAATAAAACATAATTTTCTGTATTCCTGGCTTTGAGGAAACACAAATGAATGGACAAATGTGCTCAAATCTTTAGTAGTGTCTCTAAGAGCGGAACTGTTTTGTCATTCTTTTTGGCACATCTGAATATATGAACTCTTTGTCTCTCTGTGCTGCAAGAGTTCAGCTTTGTAGCAGGAACCCCATCTTCTCACACTGCTTAGACAGCAGAGCATGCGTTTGCTGTCGTTGGGTACAGAAAACGAGCAGATAACTTTACGCCAGCATCTTCAGAGAAAATATGTGTGTGTGTGTGTGTGTACACACATATATAAAAAGTGTGTGTGTGTGTGTATATACATATATATAGTAGTTTGCTGGACTAAAGCCCGAGTTTGTGGGAGCAAGTTACCAATATAGCTCACTTAAAAAAGACCTGGAGTATATCTTGGTGTCTTTTTTTCCTATACTTAGTAAAGTGCTATAGTTAGGATTCCTTATGTTTAGCCACCTGTGTGATGGCTTGCGGGGGTGATCACATGAAAGCAGTGTGGAACTTCAGGTCTTTCTTTTTGTCACTACATGTTTATTGCTTGTGAGATCTTACGAGTTTAAAAATTTAGAGCTGACTTGTATGGCTAAGTGCCTTCTTGAAATCTCAGACTATCTTTTATGTAAAATAAAGTTATTGCCTTAGTAGGTCTTTGGTGGATAGCTTTTAAGAACTCGGCCAACCAGGGTGTTCTTTGCTGTCTCGCTAGCCTTGATAGCGGGTACAAAAATACAAAAATAGCAGTGCTTTCTTGTGGGGAGGAGTGTATTTACCCTTCTTTAATGTGTTACTTTTTTTCCCTGTCTGTGTGGAGCTGTTATGTGGGGATGAGCTTTGCTTGCTGTGGCAAGTGAAAACACGTGTGTATTTTTTTTTTCTTTAAGAAATCAAATTATTTAGCTGCTTTGTAAATTGTAATCCTCTCTGGACCAGAAATAGCTGTGCTTCTTAAAACCTAAGATTCCTATCATTACATGTCTGACTGTTTCTAGTAATCTGCCAAATATCAGCCCATTTCTTGGCTTTCCAGAGCTGAGTCTGCTCATTGCCCCCCTCCTCCCTTCCAATTCAGCTCTCCATCTCGGCGTGAGAGGTAGCCTCGAGTTCCCTTTTTGGCACATGAGCTCCCTGTCACCTAGCTGATGCAGACACCGTGTCCTCTCGTGCTTCAGGGCAGGCTTATTACAGAGGTTCTGGGCTTGGTGATTCTTTTCACAGCGAGTCCTCAGTCTTATTTGTAATGACTTTCTTGAACAGAAAGTTCAGAGCAAATGAGAAGAGTGGTGTTCCAGTCAAAATGTCTTAGTGTTACAGAGACAGTACTTTTAAGACAAGAACCTGTGCTGTTTTGTCACTATCTTTTCATGTAATGAAGGATTAGACTGTTAGCAGCTAGTGAAGCAGGAGCTGGATAAGGGATAATTATCTGTGGAGCACTTGAGCCTGCCAGTGGCTTTCTTGACACTAGATATGCTGCAGAATCTTACTTAGTTAATTATTTTGCCTCAGGAGGTAGTTTATTTTGGTATTGGTAAATTCACTTGAGTATAAATCTGCTGAGAAAAATTATATGGAGGTGCAGTTCAGCCTGCAAATGACATTGTTGTTATGAGGGCAGAAAGGGACCATCTTGGTTATCACACAGTAGTTATTACTCACAACTAGCTCCCTATGTTCTTGCCTCTAATGGGAAGCGTGTTGTGGCCCTGACCCCATTTCCTAATTGCCTGGATATTTTGCGCTATGGCACCCCCCTGGCTATCAGTATTATTAAAAAGTTCTTCCACTTCCCGTTGCACTTTACCTCAAGGCCTCTTCGCTGTTGCAGGTGATAGTAATAACCGTATGCCATGCACATCGTGACGTGGGTTTGAGGAGGGGCATCAGGCTTCTCCATAAGGATTTCTGCTTGCAACTGTTGAAAAGCAGGTTGCACTGATATTCTGCCTTTAGGGTAAGGTGAGTGTGTGTGTGTGTGTGTGTATTCTTCCTATTTTGCTAAATATTCATTAAAAAGCTTAACAAATCAGAGAAGTATATGTTATTTTATACTCAGCTTCCTGAGATGTCAAGAGGAATCCTGGCTTCTTTATTACTTGTAGTGGCATGGGAGCAAATGTCTGGCGTGGGCATCCCAGTTCTGAGTATTGCAGAATGAGCTCCAGTAGAAGTCCACATGGTTTTGCAAGTGAGAGTTTTCCAGGCCGTGGAGAAATGCTGCTTGTATTTTGATCTTTCTGCAAGGGGAAAAAGAAACAGTATGTGTTCTATGTAACCCTAGTACAGTTAGAGTGGAAATCAAATGGAACTTGTAAGTAATTTGTTGTGTGAGAAAACTTAGTGATATATAGTCTTTGCAATGCGTATAAGCTCTCAGGAAGTAGTCCCAACAATTATCCTGGCACACTATATTGTTTTTGACTGAGGGTGGCATGTGGGAACGGCACACGTTGGGGATGTGCTGATGACATGCTCCTCTACACTGAAGACAGATTTATAGGATGTTGCTTCTGGCTTGCCATTACTGCCCGTTGTCTCGTCCCGGGTTCTTGCCAGGGTTCGCTGGTCGTTTCACTGGTCTGCTTATTACAAGTAAATCTGGTTTCATTAATGGTCAGGTTCTTGCCAGGGTTCGCTGGTTGTTTCACTGGTCTGCTTATTACAACAAGTAAATCTGGTTTCATTAATGGTCCATGCTAACTACTTCTTGACTATGGCTTCCTCTCTTTTTCTCTAATTACATCACTGTAGTATCAAAAGCAGTAAAGTAATCACCACAACTCTATCTGCACAGTTTCCAAGTGTGGGTTTATCTTCTGCAGTGCTGCTGTTGTGGTTCTGGGACTGAGGACAAGGTGACAGCAGTTTGGATGTGCTACTGCTGAATTTATTGTGTAGAAGGAAACCAGCCCCCAGTCTACTCCCTACTCTTTCAATTTCAAATGTTTACATAAATATTTTAATTAAAAGTCCCAGATGGAAGTATCTGACCTGGTATATTGGTACTTTATCATGGATGATCATTTGAACATATGAGTGGCTGTAGTGAGCTACGTCAAGTGAGTAGGCAAAGAGTTTTGGACACACTTCAGAATAATACTCGAACTGTGCCCTTGGTTTACTCTAGTATCCTTGTGTTTATACACGGCTTAAGAGTTTACTGTTCAGCCGCCACAAACTGTGAATATACTTTTTTAAAAATATTTATTTATTTATTATTTCCTTGTGATGACTTGGTAGCAGTTGTATTCATTGAGATATACATTGGCCTTGAAACAGGGCTGCATTTTTGCTGACTTGTAGCAGCAAACTACTGATCTTGTGAATTTTAAATTACAGTGGAGATGCTAGGACTCCTTAGCTAAAGGAGTGATATAAATGCTTACTCCTTGTCCTTTAATTTGTTCAGGAATTTATTTTTAAGATGAGGGTGATTGGGGGAGCTTCTCAAGCTGGATTTTGTCAATGCAGGAACTTGCATATGTTCACAACTGTTAAGTTGAGCAGCTGCTTAGCGGCTGCTGCTTAGCTGCATGGAAATGACATTAGTGATGAGTGCTGATCTGTTAATGATGATGTTAATGCTGACTTTATGGTTAAGTGCAGAAAGGTCATCAGCCCAAGTGTCATCAGTGCCAAGTCACAGCTGATTTCTGGGCTCACAGTTGTACTCAGGGAGAGAAAACTGCCTGGTCTGTAACTACTGGGACAGGCAATGCAGGCATCCAGTTTAATAGTTAGGTGACCTCTTAATGACAAATAATTTTCTGCTTTGAAGTTCATGTTTGCAGAGCAAGTACGTGCCATGTTGTAGGGCTGAAGCTAAATTCTCTGCTCTGAAGGTTTGAGATATATCAGCTTTCCTCTTAAAAATGTTGTTATCCACTGTTACACAGGCATGCGAGGCTGCTGTAACCCTGGCAGGGATCTTGGCTTGCTTGTGTGTACATTTGAATCCACTCTTTGGTCTGCATTACTTTTGTGCAGGTTTTAGTGCAAAAGAAGGAGAAACATGTTAGAAAATGGGGTCATTCGAAACAGTCAGAATGAAAGTGGGTCTGTATATCATAGAGCTCTGTATTTCGATCAAGTGTGTTAAAATTGTAGTTGAACTTCTAAGACTCCAAAGGCATGTGATCAGCTTGTGCTCAAGCGATTACAGTTTTTAATACTTTATTTTTGCAGTTGGACATTAGCATTGGTTATGATTTTTATGCCTGTTCTGCAGTAAGCAGTACTAAATAGCCTGGGCTTATGAACTGGTGGCAAAACTGCTGGCAAATAAGGTCTCCTGCAGTATTCTCATGCTCTGTAAAGTCCTAGTAGTTGAACATGGGATGGGTTCAAGGAAGGCAAAGTTGTGAACTTTATAGTTTCCACCTGTTTTGATTCAGAGTGGATCCAGTTTGTGTTTGTTGGGTTTGCTGTTACATGGGCTCTGTGTTACCCTGTGAAAGCAGGGAGGCTTCTTGAATAGCAGGTTTTATAGCTCTACCACACTGCACAAGGCAGTGCAGGGATGGTTATCTTTCTAGGAAGTTACTTTGAACCAAAAGCTTTCGCTCTTAACGTCTTTGTAAAATGTCCCGCTTGAGAGATGTGTCTGTGTGTGGGGAAAAACCCTTCTAGAATCTGTCTTTTGGAAAATGTCAATGCTGAGGTACAGAGTACTGATAACTAGACTAAGTAGAGTGATTTGCCTAAAGTTATAGGACTTAACAGAAACATTTGTATATTTTTTTCCCGGTGTTTTTTTGGCCATTTTTGGTGGACTACATTGAATGTAGTCTGTTACTGCCTTGGCTCTCATGTTTAAATTGAATATTTAGCATATGTTTTATTAGGCTCTTCTCCTTTATGCTTCTTTTCTTCTGTTAATTTTTATTTTATGAACAGTCTTTTGAATTTCTCCTATAATCCAGAAGTGCTTGCGCGTTTTTAAATGGTGTAAGAGAAGAAAAAATACAAATATTCCTGTGTGTTTGCATCTTTCATGACAGAACAAGCAAGTGCCTGGCTTGTTCTTGAACAAGGTACTGTCTCACTTCAGCTAGGAGGATACTGAACTCTAGACATAGGTGGGTAGTTTTGCCAGGTCTCTGCACTGTTACTTGACTGCACTTACTCTATTAAAGATGAAGGAAAATCACTCTGATAAAACTGTTTGGGGGATAATGAAAACTTTGGCTGTTTGTTGACTTTTTTGTTGAGAGTGGGTTTTGCTAAGTCCTTGGTGAGGACTTAGACACACAGATCTTAGACGCACAAATGAGGATGCTCTTGGGAGTCATTTC